TCATTGATTTCACATGCAAGCAAGATTCTACTAAAGATTATCCAAAAAGACTGGAACAGTACATCAACAGAGAACTGCCAGAAGTCCAGACTGGGTTAAGAAGTGGTCGTGGTACTAGGGATATTGTAGCCGATGTTAGATGGATCTTAGCTGAAAGCAGAGAATACCAGAAGGTCTATCTGTGTTTCATTGATTATGCAAAGGCATTTGACTGCATGGATTATAACAAACTGTGGCTAACTCTGAGAAGAATGGGAATCCCAGAATATTTAATCGTGCTAATGCGAAACCTATACTTGGACCAAGAGGCAGTCGTTAGAACAGAGCAGGCCAACACTGGATTGTTGTTCAAAATTGGGAAGGGTGTGTGCCAGGGGTGTGTCCTATCTCCATACCTTTTCAACCTGTATGCAGAGCAGATTGTCTGAAAGGCTGAGCTCTATGAGGAGATGCTTGACATTAGGATTGGTGGAAGATCTATCAACAATCTGCATTATGCAGATAACACAACCCTGCTTGCTGAAACTGAAGCACCTGCTGCAGAGGGTCAAGGACTGCAGCCTCCAATATGGTTTGAGGCTCAATGTCAAGAAGACAAAGATTCTCACCACTGGACCAATTGGTAGCATCAGGATGGATGGCGAAGAGATTGAGATTGTTCACAGCTTCAGTTTGCTCGGCTCCACAGTCAACACTCTTGGCACCAGCATCCAGGAAATCAAAAAACATATTGCGATGGAAAAGTCTGCTGTTAGGGACCTCTCTAAAGTACTCAAGAGCAACGGTGTCTCTCTGGAGATGAAGGTGCACCTGATACAGGCTATGGTCTTTGCAATCACTTGTTATGCATCAGAGAGCTGGACAATGACTAGGGAGGACAGAAGGAGAATTGACGCCTTTGAGCTGTGGTGCTGGAGAAGAATATTGAATGTACCATGGACTGCCAAGAAAACAGACAGATTCATCCTAGAGAGGGTTAAACCAGGCTACTCCTTGGAGGCAAGAATTCTGGGGCTTCGTCTGACATACTTTGGACATGTTGCAAGGAGAGACAGACCTGTGGAGAGGGACATCTTGCTGGGTAGAGTAGAGGGACAGCGCAGGAGGGGAAGACCCTCTATGAGATGGATTGATTCAGTGACTGGGGTAATTGGGATCAGTGTGTCAGAGGCAATGTGATTGGCACAGGATAGAGCGGGGTTTAGGGCTGTTGTACATAGGGTCGCTATGAGTCGCAAACGACTCGACGGCACATAACAACAACAGCATCAAGGAAGTGTAAAATCAGTCTGTGGCAATGATACAAAGTACATTTTACAAAAAAATCTGAGTGTTATTGGTAGTATCTATTAAAAAAGGGACCTCTTTTGGTGTTATTTCTCTATCTACCTAGTAAGAGTTCATCATTTGCTAGTTATATTTCTATTTCAAACTGACACCAGATCACAGAATAAAATGTAGCATCCAGGTCTAAAATGTAATCTAAAAAATATATTTCAAGGAGGAATGTTGTTGTGTGCTATTGAATCAGAAGCAACTCATAGCTCACCCTCCAGTGGGTGTTCAGAGGGATTAGATCGCACAGAAGGAGATTGACCATCCTTCTTCCAACATGCCTTTGAGATTGCAATGCAGCTTCTTATCACGAGGCTACCAGAGTTCCCTAATAGAACTGGTAATTAGGAATACAAACAGTTATCTCACTATTCTCTTATTATTAAAAAAAAATCAAGTTCTGAGTTTTGATACTGAAGAACATGACAGAGTTTTGCAATTTCATTTTTTACAGTGGTATGATGGTATTTTCAATTGTTTCATACATTTGTGAAAGTTGGGCAATGAATAAAGAAAATCAATGACTAATTGATGCCTCTGTATTGTGGTTGGTATTGTGTTGGTGAAGAATATGGAATAAACCATAGATTAGCTAAGTAACAAACAAATATGTCTTGAAAGAAGGGAAGCCAGAGACCTCCTTAAAAACGAGGATGGCAAAATTTCATCTCACAGACTTTGCACATTTTGCTAAAGAACCCTTGTCAATCCTTCACAAAGATATCATGCTTTCAAAAGAGAGGGGAGTGAAAGAGAGAAAGCTCATCAAGAAGCTGAACTGGCACGATAATTACAGCAAGGGGCTGTGGTACGGCAGAGGATATGACGATGGTGCAGAATTGGCAGGGTTCTGAGATGCTGTTCATAAGGTCACCATGAGATGTATTCCGTTCCATAACACTTAACAACAACGGCGGTAACAATAAATGAATTAATAACTAAAATGTGAATAAAATTTTATTGGGCTAAACATCTTGTCTCTGAGAAATGATTTATTTTAATATAATACCTAATGTAAGGTCACAAAAAATAACCATTAAATGTAAATGCTTGATATTCAGAAAGAATATCAGCTTCCATGAATAAAACCACAATTACCCCAAATCCCCTGAGAACAAAATTGTCTTCTTATGACCATTTTTTTAGATGAAAAGGGCAATTATTGGATAGTACACTTTAAAAAATGTATCATATACTCCTCCCTTGATTGTGATCATTATTTTGGGTACTGGTATGGACTGAGACTCTTTGATGTAGTGTATTTGAAGGTACTGATCCTGCCCTTGTCCCTACAGGCTTTACTTTTGTATCTTTTTCCCCTGACTTCTCTTTGGGAATACAAATCTCAATATCTTGTTTCTATGCATTGTCTTGGAATTGGTTTTAAATCTTGTCATTATTACAATTTTTTAACTAAGAAACAATCTTGCTGGTATTTATTGTTTAAAAGCACTGACTGAAACCATAGAGACATTGACTATGGAATTAAAAATCAGAATATGTATCAGTGACCTCCTGGATAATTATGCTGTAGACAGATACAAGTCTAATCTTAAATTTAGATGTTACTAAACTACTAAACATAGATAAGGAACTTCGGTTGCCCAGGGTGAAGTGACATGCTGCTAAGTGAAAGGTTAATAGTTTAAATCATCTATTACCCTGTGGGGAAAAGATGTGGCAACATCCATACATCAAAACTCACAGTCTTGAATACACTGTGGGACACTCTGATATTGTCCTGTGAGGTTCTCTGAGTCAGAACCAACTCAATGGCAATGGATGCTAAACATAAAGGAATGGTTTTTCCCTTCAAAGATGGAAAATTCAAGAAGAAATATGACTACATCAGAGACAAAAGACTCTAAGTTCTAAAGAAACATAGCTATAGACTTGAGCCCCACAAAGCTATAGCATACTGTTACAGAAAGAAGAGATTTAGAGTTTAGATTTCTGTTTCCAGCCTGGTCATTGTGTTTCTCTTTCATTCCATTCCCTTACTTACAGTTCAAGAAGACACAACTAGGGAAGGTCTGATGTTATTGTTATATGCTATTAAGTCAGAAATGACTCACAGATGACCTTCAACAGATACTAGTATCATCAACTAAATGAAATCAACTCTTGAGACTAAGGCCAGGCCAGGGGTGGCAATTATGTTGGTAATTAAAGTATAAAAACTCTAGTAGACTTGACTTCAAGATAAACAAGGACAAGAAAAATAACTTTTAGTGATTACAAGTATTGAACGCATGGTCCCTAATTTTCAAATGCCAAGTTTCTCTTCAAGTGTGAGTATTTTCATGATAAGCACATAATTTTAAAAAAAACAGTCAGGGTTCATTAGTGTTTCTCCTTTTCAGTTTGATCCAGATGCCATTTTCAGGACGAAGAATCAGCTCTCCAGCCAGACCAAGTTCTTCTCTTTTCTGGTTGCATTCAACCCAAAACTGCCTCAGGATGCAAGAAAGAATAGTCTTTTCTTCAATTATTGCAAACTTTTGACCTTCAAATAAAAGCAAGTATCATCAGTTAAACCATAGATATTTAGCAACTTGGAACAATAGCAAGCCTTTTTTACAGGAAACAAGCAATTTTATATTTTCCAAGAATGTGACACAGACTCAGAATCACTTGGGACTCTTACTTAAAACGTGTTCTTTAACACGTCTCCCATCTCTTCCATGTATCTGATTAGCCAGGCATTTCAATAGTACCGCAGAGAAATTCTACATTCAAGATGGAGATGCACTACTCTAGACTTATTTCTGTTTGTAATTTAAATTTCTCTATCTAACAAATACACTTTTATTTAATATGAATCTGGTGTAACCTTACTACTGTGTCTATTTTTAAATTTACATAAATTATAAAATCCATACTAAGTCCAAAAGTACTTGTAATTCATGATGATATACACTGATACATATAGACTTTTTGTTTTGTTGTTTTTTTTTTTACACATAGTACTTCAGGTGGCTATTTGGTAAGCATTCTTTGTTTCCGTTTTAAAGAACACAATTCTTAAAAACAGCAAATAAAAAAAAATCAAACTAGATGTTAACTTACTGTGTAAATAAATTTTTCAGCACAAAAGAAATTAGACTCTGACATATAGTATTAGTAAGTATAAACTTATACTAACCTTAAACTCTATGATGAAACAAATTATGATTTAATATTTTAAAGTCATAAGGAATTTTAAAAGTGTAAGAAAAGGATAACTACTTTTAAGACTGTTGTTTATCGGCAATATCAGATTCTGACTCAAAGAAATTTTTATGAAACATCCACTGTGAGAGCCTGAAAATTCAAACTAATTCTGATGGATACAAACCTATACAATTTCTGGGTCCAGCAGAGAAGGGCACATATGCATAAGGGTGGCGTCCTTTCATATTCTCTGGAAAGAACCTTTCTGGCTGGAATTCCTCAGGATCAGGAAAATATTTTGGGTCTCTGTGCAACGCATAGGGGATGATGACGGCTTCAGTGCCCTTTGAAACTTTGTAGCCCGCTGTCAAGGAACAGTCAACATACCATAAGAATGTAGCAAGAAAGAGAAATCTACTTACTGTCTGTACTATGCTAATTCTAGAATACTTACCAACTTCACAATCTTCATTAAGAGTCCGGGCAAAAAAAGGAACAGAAGGAAAAAGGCGAAGGCTCTCTTTAATAACACATTCCAGGTATTTCAGTTTCTTCAGGTCTTCTAAGGTGGCAGGGCGATCAGACTTTCCTGAGAGAAGAATATGAGACAACTGCAGAGCTTGCAAGATACAGTGACATGTGGACAGTGGGACATCACTGAAGAACTTTTTATTCAATATATTGAATGTTAAATACCCACAGAGATAAAAAGGTAAAATTGATATTATATGTAATTATAATATACATAATTATAATAATGTAGATACATGTTAGAATACTATGATTAGAATAATTAAGTGGAAGAATATCCACACAAAAGATTGTACATTGTTTGAGTCCATTTATCTGAAGGACCCGTCAAAGCTAAATGTACAGAAACTATAAGCAAATTAGTGGTAGTAGGAAGATGATGGAAAGGGTGAGAGGAGGAAAAGGTTTTAAATTGGTGTGTGTGTGTGTGTGTGTGTGTGTGTGTGTGTGTGTGTGCACACATGACCAGGTATATTTTCTGGCTAGCTTTCCATAGAGTAAAACTGGCTGTTGACTAATGAGAGATGGGTTTTATTTTTGTAATTGAGGGACTACTGGAGCAGTGGGGGAGGGAGACCCCTACAATAGGAGGGCATTTCAACGACTGAGGGAGAAAACATTTTTTTAATAAACATTAGACATTTTTACTGTTCTTCCCTCACTTCACATCCTTTTTAATCCTCCAATATTGATTCTGTGTATAAACCTTTTCTTAGCTCTTTATATTAGTCTTTTGCCATAACTGCCCTATTTTGTTCTAGTTTCATCCACACTGTGCAGCATTTCACAAATCTTTGATATTTTTAATGCATAATAATACTCCATTTGTAAATATACCCATTTCTTTAATCTCTTTTCCTATTGACGGCAGCTGGGTTGATTCCACTTTTTTTGCTATTGTAAACAATGTTGCAATAAGAGTTTGTGTTGTAGCTCTTATTTCTTTGGGACATATACCTAGCATTAGGTTGCTGGATCAAATTATATTTCTATTCCAAAATTTCTAGAAAATATCACAGTACTTTTACTGGTGGGGGGGTTTTTTTTGCACCATTTTACTTTTCTATCAGCAGGATATGAGAGTTCCAATCTCTTCAGCCCTTCATCAGTATTTGTTGTTTGATGTTTTATTGAACATTGCTTTTTATGCTGGGGTGAGATGCTATCTCACTGTTGTTTTGACTTGTGTAACTCTGAAAGCTAATGATCTTGAGTATTTATTTCTTCATGTGTTTGTTGTTCACCTGAATGTCATCTTCATGTTTTCTGAACATCTAGTATTTGGGTTGTCTGTCTTTCTTTTGCTGAAGTGTTGGAGTTTTCTAGAAATTTGAGAGATGAATCCCTTGTACGATGTGCCATTGACAAATATTTTTTCCCAAATCTGCAGGTTTTATTTAAGTTTAAAAATGAAATTAATATTTGTAATTCAACAGCCGGAAATGAATTGCTTCAACCAATTTCAGAATTAATGTTGGGGTAGAAGACTGAGCCAAAATAAGGGGAAATATGAAAAGCAATAGAGCATAGACTATACTCATGATGAATATATAACTACTCTTAAGAAATTTTTCAAAAAGCATTTATGAGAGTAGTAATAAGGATACAAAAGATGTAGAACTAATAATTCCATTTTTTATAAGAGCAACAATGTGTCTTTCCAATGTCATTTTTCAGTGTTGTTGTTAGGTGCCATCAAGTTGAGTACAACTCATAACAACCCTATGAACAAAAGGTCTGAACCCAGTCTTGTCCTGCACCATCATCACATTTCCTGACACACAAGAGCTCACTGCAGCAGTCACTATGTCAATCTACCTTTTTGAAGGTCTTCCTCACTTTTGCCAACCCTCCACCCATGTTCCTCTCCAAGAAATAGCATTTCCTAGCAACATGCCCAAAGTGTGTGAGGTAAAGTTTCATCTTTCTTGCCTCCAGGTGTACCCTCTCCAAGACATATCTGTTCGTTCTCTTGGCTGTCAATGGATCAGTGCTCTTCTCCAACACCACAGGTCAAAGGCATTAATTCTTTTTCTGTCATCCTTATTCATTGTACAGCTCTCAGATGCACAGCTAGAAATTGGAAAGACTATGGACTGAATCAGACGTATTGTAGTCCTCAAACTGACATCACTACTCCTCAGTACTTTGGAAAGATACCTAACTGCGAATTTTCCCAGTGCAATGTGTCTCCTTATTTCCTGACTGCTGGTACCAAGGGTGTTAATTGTGGATCCAAGAAGATGAAGTTGTTGACAGTTTCAATCTCCTTTTCATCCATCATGACACTGCCTATTTGTCCAGTGGTAAGAATCTTTGTTTTCTTGATATCGAGAGACAATCCATACTGACGAGAGTATTCCTTGATCTTCTACAAAAAGTGCTTCAAGTCCTCCTCACTTTCAGAAAGTAAAGTTCTGTCCTCTGCATACTGCAAGCTATCAATGAGTCTCATTCCAATCCTGATGCCACTTTTCTCTTTACAGAGTCCAGCTTCTTAGGTAATTTGCTCAGCATATAGATTAAATAGGTATGGAGAAAGACTGTAACCCTGATGCCTTTCTTCCCAGTTCCAAAAGTGCTCCCCTGCTCTGTTCACCCAGCAGCCTCCTGATCCAGGTATAGGTTCCTCATGAGCACAATCAAGTGCTCTGGAGCTCATATTATTCTCAATATCACCCACAACTTATCATGATCCACACAGTCACATGCCTTTGCATAGTCAATAAAGTACAAATAGACATTCCACTAAATGTGGTTTTTTATAGCTGTTCCTCATCATTGCTATTATTTTCCACATTAAAAGCTTTTTCAATTCAGCTATATTCCTCATCGAGAACTCTGGTCCCACTGTATATAGAAGGTGCCGCTACCCTAAAGATGGCAGGAGGTTTCAAATCCATCACCCCAAGGAAGAAAGATGGGCCAATTTCTCCCATGCAATTTATAGCCTATGAAAACTCTCTGATCAGCTATGTCGGATCTGATTTGACAGCAATGAGATTGAGTTTTTTGTTTAATTACACTTGATGTTTTGAACTATCTTTTCCCAAAAACTATGCTGAAATCCCAACATATGTATTTCTGAGTATGTCTGGAAATAAGTTTTTAGAAATTTTTATCTTTTAGGATATTGTTCTTGTTTTTGATTGCTGTCAAGTTGAGCATGACTCATAGCAATCCTCCATTTTCTAGAACCATTGTCATTTCTCTAAGTTCACAGTTTCCAGAGGCATGGTGTTTAGGAAGTGGATGTCATTCCTGCTTCCAAACCTGTCTTAATCTGGGAGCTCCACCAAATACTGTCCACCATGGATAACCATGATGTCATTTGATACACCAGTGGCACAGGGTTCAGCATCACAGCAACGCCAGGTTATCTCAGTACAGCAAATTGTCAGACCAGTACTGTACCATTTAGAAGAATGTTCCTCCAAAACATAACTTGGGATGATAGAAGGAGAACTGATACCTTTGAGCTGTGGTGCAGAAGAAGAGTAATGAATATACCATGGACTGCTAGGAGAACAAACCGGTTCATTCTAGGGAGGGTGAGATCAGGCTGCTCCTTGGACACAAGGATTCTGAAGCTTCATCTGACATACTCTGGACATGTTACAAGGTGGGCCCAATCCTTGGAGAGGGACTTAATGCTTGGGAGTGTGAATGGACAGAACAAGAGAGGAAGATTCTCAATGAGATGGATTGATTCAGTGACTGGGATAATGAGAGTAGGTTTGTCAGACAGTAAGATTGGCAAAGGATAGAGCATGGGTTTAGGGCAATTGTAACATAGGGTCACAGAGGACTCAATGGCACATAATAACAACAACAATGGCCCTCAGGCCCAATCTCCTTTTACATACAAAGGCACTTCAAAGGTCATACTGACTTTAAATAAGAAGCCTAAATTTAAAAACAAAACAAAAAAACACCACCATGCCTCCAAAAAAAGCAAACAAAGCATTCCACACTGACTCTCAACCAAAACAAGATAGCCAACCTTTCAGATTCCAATTGCTTCACCTAGTCTCCAAACTGGAGGCAAAGACCCAGCCTTAAATACAAAGGCCCTCGACAAGGTCACATTGACTCTAAACAAGAGGCTTACTGGAGGCTACACATTGAACACTGGTAGAAATTCAAGATGGGTTCAGAAAAGAATGTGGAACTTTACTGCTGAAGGCAAATGAATTTGACTGAAAGATGTTGATCTGTGTTTTATTGATTATCCAAGGGTGTTGGGCTGTGTGGAGAATAACAAATTACGTGTAAAAACTCAAAGAATAGAAATTCCAGAACACTTAATTGTGCTCATGTAAAGCCTGTACATAGACTAAGAAACAGAACACAAGGATACTATGTGGTTTAAAATCAGAAAAGGTGTGCGTCAGAGTTGTAGCCTTTCACCATACTTATTCAATTTGTATGATGATAAAATAATCTGTCATCACAGGAGTCTAGAGTGAGGGCTACATGGTGGAGGGGACCTGGGGGAGGGTTTGTAAAACAATGAAAGAATCTTTTCTTTTACTTTTCCATAATTTTTGACTCATGTACTTATAACTTGTTAGTCAAATTTGTGTCTTCTAGGTTGCAACACCCCCATGATACATCTTCAAGGATATGAACATGTACGGCCAAGCACAATCAATAAGAGTGCATCTAAATTCCAAAATCAATCTCCATAATAGTCTATGTGTTTCCTACTGCCAAAGGGGCCCTTTAGAGTAGTGAGAGAGGATCTTCACCCTGAAACCCACAGCGTCCCTTTTCAGCAGGAAGTAGCTAAGAGAATACGCCATCCCCTTTTCCTTATGACTCAGGGTGAAGTCTCTCTCAGGGAGGAGTGATAGGGAATGGCAAAGGACACACCAACAAAGGAGATTAATCAGAACTGGCTTTGACAAGCACTGTGGCAAATTTGGACAAGAACAAACTGGGAGGAGGGTAGAGAGAATAGTGTAACAATGAATGAATGGAAACCCAAAATCTCTGTAAATGTTTATGAAAATTAATAAAATATAATTATAGAAAAAAAATAATCTGAGAAACTGGATTCTATGACAAACACCAAAAGCAGGAAGACTCATTATCAATATGTGATGACATAGCCTTGATTACTGAAAGGGAAGAGGACTTTAAAGTCCCATACAGATTACATCCCAACATTACAAAAAAACAAAAAAAAGCTCACAATTAAACCAATAAGGAACATCATGATAAACAGAGGGAAGACTAATGTCTTCAATGATTTACTTTTTTTTCTTTTGGATTCATAATCAACACCCATGGAAGCAGCAATCAAGGTAACTCATGAGGTACTGCATTTAGCAAATCTACTGTAAGAGATTTTTTACATATTAAAAAAAAGATTAAATATTGCTTTGATTTCAAAGATGCACATGGCCCAAACAATGATATTTTCAGTGTCTTCATATGCATGTGAAAGTTGAATGGTGACTAAAGAAAACTGAAGAAGGATTGATGATTTTGAACTATGATGTTGGTAAGGAATATTGAATATACCATAGACTGTGAGAAAAGTTAACAGATCTGTCTTGGAAAAATCTAAAGAACAAAAATAATCTTGAGAAGCAAGGATGATGAGCTTTTAATCTTATATACTTTGGTCACATTTTCAAGAAAAGCCATCCCTTGTGAAGGAAATCATGCTTGGTAAAGGAACTGTTGGTAGGTGCTGTTGCGTTGAATATGACTTATGACTCTATGAACAACAAAATCTAAACTCTGTCTTATCCAGGGAAATCCACATCTCTGCTCTCTTTGAGCTCATTGTTGCAGTCACTGTGTCAATCCTTCTTGTTGAGCGTCTTCTCCTCCTTTGCTAACCCTCCACTTTTCCAAATATGATATCTTTATTCAAGGTCTGGTCCCTCCTAACAACATGTCTAAAGCATATAAAAAGTTTCACCATCCTTGCCCTTAAGGAGCACCTTGATTACACTGCAAGACTTACATTTGTTCTTTTTTGGCAGTCCATGGGACATGCAGTACTCTTCTCCAAGACCACAACTCAAAGAGGTAGATTCTTCTGTCATCCTTATCCAACTGTTCAACATTCAGATGCCCAGCAAGTAATTGGAAGTAATAAATCAGGCACACCTTAGTCTTTAAACTGACATTATTGCCCTTCAGCATTTTGGAGAGGTTCCTGGCAACAGATTTTCCCAGTGCAGCACATCTTTTGATTTCCTGACTACTGGTGCCAAGGATATTGGTTATAGATCTAAGTGAGACGAAATCATTGTTGATGGCTATCCTTTCTCCATCTATCATGATGTTCCTATTGACTCAGTGGTGAAGAACTCGGTTTTCTTGATGTTGAGTTGTAATCTGTATTAAAGGCTGTAGGATTTTATCTTCTGCAGCAAGCACTTCATGTCCTCCTCATTTTCAGCAAAGTTCTGTAATCTGCATATTGCATATGGTAAAGAGGGCTAGCAAAAATGAAGACGTCTTCAGCATGATGGACTGACACAGTGGCTAAAACAATGGACTCAGGCAAAATCATGATTGCACAAAGGGCTTAGTGACAATCAGTATGATACAAAAGTGTTTAGAGCTAGAATATAATATATGGCACTGAACAACAACCACATCCTGGTCCTATGGAACAGATGTGATTATTTAAAAAGAAAAATTAAAAAGAAGCTACACAAAGATTGACAAAGCAATGCCACTACAAGCCAAGGAATGTCTGGATCTTCCAGGAGACATTCCAGGAGAGACATCACTCAAGTGGAATTAGGTCATGAATACAGTAAGGGATGGGAGTGATGCAGTCATAAGCTAAGGAATGTTAATAGCCATCAGTAGCCAGAAGAAGCAAGGAATTCTTTTACTAAAGTTTCTAGAGGAAGTGTATCTATTCCAACACCTTCACTTAAAACTCAGTGAAACTGATTTGGTCTCCATAAATAAGAGAGAATAAACATCATTGCTATTAAGCCACCCCTTTTGTAGTAATTTGTGGCAACATTAATAGAATTAATATACGCTTTATCCTCTCTTCTTCTCCTCTTGCCTTGAAGAAGACTATCATACTTGCAACAATAGTCAAGAAGACAAAAGCCAAAATGATAAAATAGAAAGAGTCAAAGACCCTAGCTAAAGACATAGAACTCCTTTCTAGGCTACTTTTTTGATCAAAATTTATCTTAAATTAGTGATTCATTTTATTTTCATTTGTGGCCAGATACAATCCTATATGAAACAGATGTTGCAACTAGCTTCACTTGCTCTTCTGGGCTCCCAGAAAGCACTTCTTCACACCGCTCAGTCCCATATGGAATGTTTTGTGTTCTTGTGCCTCTTTTATCTGACAAGTACTTAGATGTTTAAGTCAGTACCATTTACCTGTGCAGGCCAGCACCTAATACAGTGAAGTCAAATGTCAAGTAATTAGATAATCTCTTGGAAATAGGCATTTAGAGTAGAAAAAAAGACAAGAAGTGGAAAGATTTTTGGGAGTGTTGCTGCAGATTCTTAATGAGCAAGAATGGCATTAGCTCTGGTACAGTGAACTGAAGATGGGGCCCAAGCATACCAAACACTTCATCCAGTTCATTGTCCACTTTTTTCTGGGCTTCTGGATAAGATCCCAGTAGATATAAGGACCAGTTTATTGCAGCTGCTGTCGTATCATGACCCTAAAAATGTAAATAAAAAAAACCAAACCACGTAAAAAGTAAAGTTCAAGTGAGGGATATCTATAATATTTTTAGTTTGTATTGTCTCTGAATTTGACACTTGCAATAATAACAGATGAATTCAACGAAGCATCTAATCTTGAGAATTTGACACATTAAATAAATCTTTGGAGGACACGGCCCAGTTGGGAGTTGATATCTCACAATGCACAGTGCTGCACTCTCTGTGAGAAATTTCAGACTTGCTAATATGGGCAATAATGAGTGTGTGGTAGGATACGGGTGGGAGGCAAATATTCCAAGGGACTGGTGAACTGGAGCCAGAGTGAGGGAATCAAACTTGACTTTCATGAGCCAATTTGCCAGATCTTGACTCTACCTTCTTGCATCTGTACAGCAGGGATGATAATTTAATGCTGGACTACATGGTTCTCTTCCACTTCAATTTAAAAATCATGTCAGAAACAGGTTTGAGGCTTTGAACATTAATTAATAAATACTAATGAACAAAGATGAGCTGTGGGATGATATCAAGGAGAAAAGAAAAGGCCATTGCAAAGACAAAGGAGGAAAAACCCAATATGTAAGTCAGTAGAGACTGTTGAGTGTTGCACTAGAATTCTGAGAAGGCAAAACAAATGGAAGAAATGGATTGAACAGAATATTTTAAAGGGCAACTTGCCAAGACAAAGTATTATAAAATGTGCAAAGAGCTGTAGTCAGAAAACCAAAAGGGAAGAATTTGCTCAGCATTTATCAAGCTGAAGTAACTGAAGAACAAATTCAAGCCCTGAGGTGAAATACTTAAAGATGCTATGAGTAAAACTCTGAATGACCAGGAAGCATCAAAAGATGATCATGCATTGACAATCTGGAGCAAGGATTCATGACGGGGTGGGATGGGAGAAGGGGAAGCGGGTGCAGGGGAGGGATTCAACAATAAATTAAAAAACAAAATAAGATGGAAGTAACACACAGAATCATTGCACCAAAAAGAATTGGCTGACACAGAAACTTTTCAGGAACTAGCATATTATCAAGAACCAATGGTAATAAAGGAAGAAGTTCAAGCTGCTCTGAAGGAATTGCCTAAAAATAAGGCCTCAGGAATTGATGGAAAATCAGTTGATATATTTCAACAAGAAATACAATCCTGCATGTGCTCACCAAGTCATGCCAAGAAATCTAGAGGACAGTTAGTTACCTAGCCACTGACTGGAAGAGGTCCATATTTATTTCCATATCCAAAAAAGTGATTCAACAGAAAGTGAAAATAATCAAACAATATCACTAATATCACATGTGAGCAAAATCTTGCTAAAGATTATTAAAAAATTACTAGAACAGTACATGAGCAAAAAATGTGCCAGAAATATAACTGAGATTTAGAAAAGGCCTTGGCACCAGGGATATCATTGCTGCTGTCAGATGGATCATGGATGAAAGTAAAGAATACCAGAAAAATTTCTATCTATGTTTTATTGACTATGCACTGAATGTGCAGATCACAACAAAATATGGCTAACACTGAGAAGAATGGGACTCTCAGAACACTTGATTGCGCTCATGTGAAACATATATCTAGACCAATAAGCTATTATCTGAACAAAGCAAGGGAATATTGCATGGTTCAAAAGCAAGAAAGGAGTACATCAAGGATGTATCCTTTCTCCATACCTTTTCAATGCTGAACAGATGATTCAAAAGGCTGGATTTTATGAAAAAGAATGTCTATTGGCAAAGATTCATTAACAACTTGCATTATACAGATGATACAACCTTGCTGCGCAAGGTCAAGAACTGCAGCCTTCAATATGGATTGCATCTCAACATCAAGAAGACAAAACTTCTCACAAAGCCAATAGGCAGCATCATGATAGATGGAGAAAGGATTGAGGTTGTTGATGATTTCATCTTGCTCAGATCCACAATCAACACTATTGGCATCAGCAGCAAGAAATCAACAGATGAGTTGCTTTGTGCAAATCTGTTTTTAGGGACCTCTTCAGAGTTCTAAAGAGTAACAATGTCAGTATAGAGACATAAATGCTTCTAATCCAAGCCATCATCTTCTAAATCACTTGCTATGCATCTGAGAGCTGGACAACGAATAAGAATGACACAAGAATTGATGCATTTGAGTTGTGGTGCTGGAAAAAAGTATCGAACATACCATGAACTGCCAAGAGAACAACCAGGTCTAACCTGGAGACGGTGAAACTAGGTTGTTCTTTGGAGGCAAGAATTCTGAAACTCTGTCTCACATACTTTGGGCAAGTTCTCAGGAGAGACTCATCCTCGAAGAAGGACATTATGCTTAGAAGAGTGGAGGGTCAGTGTAGCAGAGGAAAGAAGACCTTGGATGAGATGGATTGACCCGGGGACTGTGGCACTGGGTCCGGTGTTTTGGATAATAGTGAAGTTGGTTCAGGACAGAGCAAGGTTCAGAGCTGTGTTCACAAGGTCACAAGGAGTAGCAGTCAACGTAACAGCACATAAAACAACAACATCTGTGTAACTAGGTATGCTAGTGTGTGTAAGCACGCACATATGTCTAAGTGTGTTTCTATGTCTGTGTAAGTGTGAGATCGCATGTGAATATCTATGTATGTAGACACATGCAGAGGAAGGATATGAAGAACCCTCTCCATTTCAGCATCAAAAAACAGGTACTATTTCTCACACATCTAAATGCCAGGCATGATTCTCATCACACAGATATCTATTATCTAAACTAACGGTCATCATCACTATTCTTGAGAGGCTTGTCATATTACAATGAGGAGACTGAGCCTGCCAGGCTAGTCTAGCATCCGAGATCACACCTCTCGTTCACCACAGGGCACTAGCACTGCATTACTTCATTTTTAAGAGAATTCATTTTCAGTGTAATTTTTTTTTAATATAAAGTGCTTTGTTTGGAAAACCAGAATTAAAAACCATGCTCTTGTCCATCTATCTCTTTTACACACAGGGGACTCGTGACCTGACATGGGGGTGACAGGAATCAGGTCATGTGACAGGTCAGTGCAGAGCCAGAGCTGGAACCCTGGCTTAAGGACTCAGCCCAGTTTCCTTCTTATTAGGTTGTAGTCTCTTTTCCCAGGAAGAATGCAGGGTCATTTTATCAGATTGCAGCTAACACAACCTCTACCCTGGTGAGCAAACAGAAACTACAGATGTCTTTCACTTTGCTCCACTTTGAGGATATTACCACATTTTGTTGTTTATAAAGTATCTTTCTCTAGTTAGCTATATTTGAAGATATTCATGCTTCATTATATTATTTACTATTTAGAATTATCTTAATAAAACTTATTTGTAATGACCAAAAATCCCTTCAGAAGCAAACTGGTTAAATTCTTTACTAGGGTGGTTATGGAAATAAGTATCCTCTTTAGTTAGGACAGCTCGGAGCTGCATCGAAGCACTTATTTGCTAGAAGCTTCAAGAAGGAAGTAGCGACAAATGTACTTGTGGTTTGGGGAAATAAAAGGAAGCACAAAACATTAAAAAGAACCGAAATTAATTCCTGCTTGTCCTTTTGCTTGCAAAACGTCTGACAAAGTTTCCCAAGGGAAAACATGTTTATATTGCTGTACCTACCAAGGATCTATATCTTATAAGAAAGTTAATCTATTACTTTAGTTCTTAACTTTATTGTAAATTCTTAGTATAAGGGCCTTCCTTTGTTATATTAAACAATTTTATAATTTGATTGATTCTTTATTATATAATGCTAGAATAGTCTTACACAGGGAACTAGGAGGAAGGAAAGTGTGCATGAATGAATGAGTAATAAAAAAAAAATTAAAAAAGAAAAATTTGTACCAATGTTCATATCAGCGCTGTTCACCATCACAAGAACATGGAAACAGCCTAGATGTCCAACCATAATCGAATGTATTGAGAAGTTGTGGTATATTTACACAATCAAAAACTACACAGCACGCAGGAGCAATGATTTTGTGAATTATTACCTAACTTGGGAGGAACTGGAGAGCATTATTCTGAGTGAAATAACTAGTTCCAACAGGACAAATACTGTACAAAACCATTCTTGTAGAATGAGTATGAGGATCCAAAGTGGGGAGAGGGTGGAAATAGAGGGGTGAGGATGGGCGGGGCAGGTTTGGATAATCATAGGGTGGCACAATTTGAAGGGTAGAGGTGGGGGGTAAAGGAAATGGGAAAGTTCGGGTGTGAAAAACAATGTATTTGAACTTTGTAAATAAACCAGTATAAAATTTTTTTAAAAAGCTAGATATTCTATAAGGAACAGGAATTTGCTTAGTAATAGCTCAAAATGACATGGCGATATAAAATACCTCGAACATGAACGTGTCCACTTCTTCTCTAATGTCTTCATGACTTAGTTTTTTACCCTCATCATCAATTGCATTCAAAAGCAAGTCGAGGAAAGCCATGCGCTTATTTTTGGTGAGGCTGGAGCCCCTGTCTTTCTCGTTTTTACATTCTTCTTCCCTCTTCATCTGACTTGCCCGCTCACTGATGACCTGTGGAATTTTAATAGCAGTCACATGTTTTTTCTTGGAAGAAGGGTGACTGACCCTAATAGCACACTTCCCAATAAAAATATATCAGTTCCTTTAAATTACTCTTTCTTAATTTTCCTGATCTTATTCAACAGCAATTTAGCCTATTAATAAACTATGGTAAAGCGTGCTAATTTTTAGGTCATCATAATTTTTAATGAATTTTTAAATTATTTTATTACAATGAAAATATACATTATTATTATTAATAATTTTATTATGATGAGAATATAAATTTTTATTATGGTGAAAATGCTCAGAATAAAGCATATGTATACAATCTCATCAATCACCACCTGCACAATTCAGTACATCACTTGCACAATTCAGTGCATCACTTGCATCCTTTAAGTTGTACAAGCATTCTCCTTAACCTTTCCCGAATCACTCCATCAAATGTGGTGAAAGCTTAAAAAAAATTAATTCAAACTCAGGCAAATGAATCATCTCCAGATGCTAAATTTTTTTCAGTCTTTCTAACCTGGGAATACGGAGTCGTCTATTAAATAGTACACTAGCATGAATGAGCTAGTAAGGAAAAAAACAGTAGAAAGAATGCAATCATTGTATGACAGACCACTTACAGATCACTCTTAATTGTGAGCTGTACTGGAGGAAGGAAACGGCAAGGATGCGTAGTCATCTTCTCCTTTGCACTTGCTGTTCCCCTGCCTGACTGCTCTGTCTAAGATGCCTGCGTGGCCAGCTCTCTCCCTTCTTTTAGGTCTGCCCACTGCGTCCTGGCAGAGAGATCTCCCATGAAAACTACTACCCTAGAGGCTAGCATACACTTGCTTCATAATCCTGTTTTATCATGTTCCATTTGCCTAATCCCCACGTGATGTACATAAATACATAATGTTCTACTCCAATTCAAAGGTACTATGCCCACTTTCTAAACAACATGCCTCTGGAAACTCTATGGACTTTGATAAATGTCGATAGTTATGGAAAAGCTTCAAGCCTTTTGTTCATAGGGTCACTATGAGTCACGCTCGACTCGAAGGCAATTAACAACAACATGCATGTGACGAGGGCGCTCCAGTGGCTTAGTGATAGAGAGCTAGCTTCATGGCCAACACAAAGGCACGTGGCAGCGAATTTGTGTTTCTCATGATATCTTTCCAGTGCTAGACCACTGCCTGGCATTTTAAGAATACTTTCGCTGAGTGAATAAAAAAAATGATGGCAACATTAATTTGATTACACGGCTCTACTTTTTCCTCCTCTAGGCAGTTGACAAAACCTTTACTAAGTTACTTAAGAGAAAGAGAACCTATGCCTTTTAGGTTAAAGGCAAAAGGCCACATTTCTTTTATTCTTAGAGCTCAGTAGCAGGAGACCTGATGGACAGTGTGTTATAAAAAGTCGATGATTTGAATCCCCCAACCATTCTGCAGGAGAAAGATGAGCCATCAGTCATTTGTGAGATTTACAGCCTCAAAATGTGAAGGAGGAATGCTATGAATCAGAAGTGATTGGACAACAGGGAGTTCGATGCTCAGTAGAGGAACTCTGCTGGCATAGTGGTTTAGCCATTGGGCTGCTAACCAAAGTCCAGCAGTTCTACCCAAGTAGCCACTTCAAGAGAGAAAAAGAGGAGGCAATCTATGCTCATAGATTTAAATGCTCAGAAATCTTATACAACAGTGTTCCTCTATCCTACGGCATCATTATGAGTCAGAATCTGTACTTCCCATCTTTGGCTCATTTTTTTTACCCAGTAAGTGCTTACTTAACATTTGTGGAGTACGTAATTTAAATAGAATCTGATTTCTCACTTTCTCTATTATTATTCAAGGCTCTGTCATGCCACACAGAATAAGGTAACAAAACATAGAATCGCAGACTTACATTGTTGGTAAAAGTATGTAAGATCTTAAGACTTCTTCTGTGTTCTCTTCCTTCTTTAAACATAAGGTACCACAGGTCAAACCAATACCAGGGCTTCTTTACTCTTTGAAGTATCATGTCACTCATCCTATAAATAAGGTAAAAATGCATTAACTTGTCAACAAAATGCAAATATCCTGAGCATGTACTATTTGCTTTTTAACACTGAAAAAATTAATACATGAAAATGATAATGATGAGTCTTGGAGGCTACTTGTAGCTTCATGCCTTACACTAACCATGAGGGCATATGTAGTTATTTATGCAAGGAAGCTAAAGAAAAAAATGAGTTGTGCTGAAGAATGAATTCTTTTGAAAACATCCTTACTGGCTGGCCATCTGAGTTCAGCTTCTCTTCTTCACTGACACCTTCTGATGCTCCTGGTCTCCTGTACCACAGGTTAAAGTGAAATTTGCTTCTTTGGTTGTAAAAATACAGATAGCACAATATTTTCCAATTCAATATTTTTTTTCATGAGTGCAATTCAATAAGATCAATTACATCCATTTCACTGTGCAACCACTACCAGTATAAAATGTTTCATCTTCATTAACATTACCTTCATGCTACTAAAATAATTATTACATCTCCCTTTTCCTAATCCCTCCTGCTTCTGGTAACTATGAATCGCTGATCTCTATACATTAGGCTACTGTCAATACTCCACTTAAGTATTCTTATGTGTATAGAATACACATAATAATAATAATAATAATAATAATAATAATAATATATACACATAATTATATATTATACTCTGATCTCTATAAATTGTTGCTGTTGCTGTTATGTACCGTCAAGTCACTTGTGACTCATAGCAACCCTATGTACAACAGCCCTAAACCCTGCTCTATCCTGTGCCAATCGCACTGCCTCTGACACACCCATCCGATTACTCCAGTCACTGAATCAATCCATCTCATAGAGGGCCTTCCCCTCTTGCTCTGTCCCTCCACCCTCCCAAGCATGATGTTCCTCTCCAAGGACCTGTCCCTCCTTGCAACATGTCCAAAGTATGTCAGATGAAGCCCCAGAATCCTTAGCCTACTGTAAATAGTCCACATAAGTAGGATCATAGAATATTTTTCTTTTTGTGATTGACTTATTTACTTCTTTTCAATGCCCATTCAATTGATTATGGTCACATTCTTGGAGTGAAAAACAAAACAAACAAACAAATAAAAAAACAACCCACATTCAGCTGCCCTCTTCTCTTGGTAAAAGAACTGAAAATTTCTTTTTAAAAATAGTTTTTTAGAAGGTTAAACCCAAAATTTCTGCTTTTGGGGGGATTTGATTGACAGCAACCCTCCAGGGCAGGGCAGAGCTGTCCCAGAGAACATCCAAGGTTGTAATCTTTATGGAAGTGGGCCACCTCATCTTTCCCTTGAAGAGAAAATGGTGCATTTGAATTGCCAAACTTTTGGTTATAAGTCAAATGCTCAAGAGATAGTAGTTCTTCTGCACGTAGTTGCTCATTAAATATACATGCGTGACATGGCTGTCCTTAGTCATTTCCAGTGACAGATCAGAAAGGCCTCTGCATGCTCGGCTCCTCAGCCTCAGCTTAGATAGTAACTCTTCAGAGAGGCCTCCACAGGTTACACAATCTGTGGGACTTATTCCCTCATTTCTCTCTCATGCCAATTTGACCTTTCCTTTCTAAGCAATTATCCCGATTTAAAAGGTTTTATTTATTTGCCCGCCGCCTGTTGTCCATAGTAGGTTGTCTGTTTTACATAACACTGTAAAAACTATATGGGGCTCTGGTGGCTTGGTGGTAGAGTTGCACTGCTATCTAAAGGTACATAGTTTTAATCCACAAGCTGTTCTGATGGAACAATATGGACAATCTCTTCCCATACAATTACTGCTTCTGAAAACCTGCTCCAGCATCAGCTATCAATCAGTACTGACTTGACAGTACTCAACAACAATATACAAGCTATATATGGTGAGGTGGGGTGTTACATGTTACTTTGCTAACTGAAAGTTTAGTAGTTTGAATCCTCTAGCAGCTCTGTGATAGAAAGATGGGTTGTCTCCTATGGTAAAGATTTTACAGCCTTGGAAAACTGTCAGAATGGACTCATGGGTTAAACATGCAGCTCCTAACAGAAAGGCTGGTGGCTTGAATCCAATAGCTACAGAAAAAACCTAGTGATAAAAATATACAGCCTAGAAACCAATGGGAGTTCTACTGCCCACAATTACTAGTTGTAACTGACTTGGTGGACATAACAACATATCCCTAGTGGAGTATCTAGAATGTAAACAATTAAGTGAGTCAAAAGCTTAGCGTTTCAAACCCACTTAAAGGCATCTTTAGAGGTAAACCTGGTGACCTGCTTCCAAGACTTCACATCCTTTAAAACCCTATTAAGCAGTTCTACTCTGCAGCGGATCCATAAGAATTAGAATTGAGTAGACAGCAACCAATAATAGCAACCAGAAAGTTCCTTGTGCAATGACTAGCACATTGGAGATCTTGAATAAATATTTGACAAAGTGAAGTGAAATGAGCAGAGGACTCAAAAGTAAACTTTAAAATGAAACTGGTCAGTTAAATCATTTAAACAGCACGTACGCAGTGCAGAAACTACGAGAATGTAGAATAAAGACCGAGTACAATGCCATAAAAAAGAAGCACATACACACATCAGTGCTATAACTGGCCATATTGGTGTTTATAACCAGCCATATTTGGTGTTATATCTTGCCGCTTTTCTAGGATAACTTTTTATCTGGTGGCTATCTTGCTACATAAAATTATTTAGATCTTGCCGCTTTTTAGCATAATGTTTTCGTTGAAGCAATTATTTGAAACACCATACAACCCAGATAAAAAAATTATTACTGGTTTACATTTAAGAACCCAAATCCATAATAATATTAAAGATAATCAAAAGGCTTTAATTTACCTATAAACGGCACGAACATATTCGGAATCATCATTATTTTGAGCACCAATATTCTTCCCCATAGCTGTTTCTATAAAACATGGATGAGAGACATTCATTTTCTTCATGCTTATATCTTACATTTATATTGCAGGAATAGGCACTTTTGAAAAAAGTGTAAGTTTTGTTTTGTTTGTATGTATTTAAGAATTGTTTCTCCCCTCTACTCTCTTCTCTGCCTTCTGCTTCCCCTACCCTCTGTTTCTGTTCTGTCTTCCCACAAAATATTCCCTTCTCTTTGGGCCACCATTTTAGCTCTACATCATACCTCTGGAGACACAGCAATGAGACTTACCACAGATGATATCTAAGGCACAGAGAGTGATGTAAAAAAAGCAGTTAAATGCTTCTTTGTCCACATGTTTTTCAAGCTTACTAACTAGTATACTAGATTGTTCATTCATGACATCTAAGAAATCATCCAGAATTGTAAAGTGGAAGGTAGGTGTTAGCATTTTCCTCCTGTTGCGCCATTTATTTCCGGTACTGGAAGGAGAAAACATAGTTACACATTTAACAATAAGCAACATGAAAAGCAAGCAGGAATACATAGAGCCAGCTCAACACCACTCTCCTTAAATGGCTTAATCTACAAATTCTCAAATGATTTGCTTAGAAGACATATGCAATATTCACACATAGCCACAAAAAAAGTAGATATTTGGGACTTTTCCCTAAATTACTAATACTTAAAATTGCATTCATATACAGCAACTAAAAAAAAATTTGTTTCGACACATCCTTTTGGTTAGTTTCACAGCATGCAACTTGCTGCAGACTCCAGCAGAGTTCCGAAGCTTTACCAGCATGAATCAGGCCCATTTGCTCCTTGAGTCCACCTTGATCTCCACTGAGATGGCATTCTCCTGGTCTTTCTCTTCTTGCCCTGCCCTCAGAGGATGGAGTGCTGTTTCTAGATGCCAGTTCAAGGATTCAGTTCACTGTGCTCAATATACTTCTCTGTTTCTGACTATATTTTTGTTTGGCTTTTCAAGACCCTCTTATTTTAAATTCTGCTATATTCTACTCATTTCAGAGACCAGGATTCCTAATTTTGGACCCCATGGTAATCATTATGAACCTGCTGTCAAGAGATTATCAAAATGCCCAAAGCTCTTGCTTGTGAAAGCTTTTTTCTTTGTGAATCCTTTCCTTCTAACTTCCCCCTGACTTCTAGCTAGCACATCTTTCTGCAGGGAAGCTAACTTATCACATGTGAGAGTAACTGTTTCTAAGGGATAGTTTTACAAACATAAGTTGGCGTACCTTGTAAGAAGTCCTTGACCAAGCCATGGCTCTATGAACTTGTAGAACGATGATTTGTCAATTTGCTTTGAGCTAGTTAAAATTACCTTAAAAACAGAATTTAAGAAGAAAAAAAAAAAAAAACCCAACCAGAATTTCATTTCACAGAGTTGCCGGCATCTTTGCAATTAAAAGTTAAAAACCTCATTTATAACATCTGACTAGAATACAACCATTTTAGAGTACAACCAAAAATTTTAGGTGAAAATTTTATCATTTTAGGTAAAATTCTTGTAAAATTTTATAAATTTGATGATATTATTTTCTCTGATAATTAATTTTTATTCCTGAATCTAAAAGTAATCCAATTTGGGGGGGATGTGGTTTTCTTAAATTTATTTTATTTTATATTGGTTTGTATACACAATTCCTACGCACTGTGTTTCATTTATATACCTTGTTTCACACATTTCTTCACTCATTTTCATATGATCGTTCTCATATGTAATATTTTATAAAATGTAACCTTTGATCTATGTCCACTATTACCCCATCTTTTCTGGTCCCCACTGGATCTTTCCTAATTTCTGCACCCCTTCCCTCCACCCACCAACCTCTGTGACCTTGTGATTTCTCTCCCCCTCCCCACCCTCAGAGTGCCTGTCCTCTCCCCTTCTCCCTTTGGACTTTTGTACACATCTTATCAACTAGTGTTTACACTCAAACATAACACACTATTAAACCTCTCAAACCATCAAATGTTCAATGAAATTCTGATCATAATCATCCCCTATTCACCTCCACGTTTTCTGCATGATACAGGGCGGTCATTGGTACCGGTCCAACCCAGAGTTTAAGCAGTGGCATGTGTCGCAATTCTTCAGAGTAGTCAATTATCTGTTGAAAAAAGGCTGGAAGGGGGAGAAAACATCTTACTTTCATTTCAATCACAAGGGTAATTTTGTTTTAAGTTCCTCACTGTGTTTCTCAGAATGAAGGATAGAAAGGCTGCCCTAATTTTTTTTTTGGCTGCCCTAATTTTTGAGTAAATAATCTTTCCCACATCTCTCCAGACTTAAAGGTAAGCCCAATTATCCATATCAAATTATTCCATGACCAAATTAGAAAGATAGCATACACAAAACATCTCAGCTAAAAAGTCAAACACTTGGTGAGAGAACAATGCTATCACAGCAGCACTTGCACGAGGTGCAGTTCCCCAAAACCCCTAAGGGGTTTCATTTCTCTGAGTCTTGCCTCAGGCTGCCCTTTAACAGAATGCCTTCCTACTTCAGCCTTAATAAATGCTGCCCAATAATTGTACAAATTTTTGCGCTGGTGGCAAGAAGCTGCGCTGCAATCCCAAAGGCACACACTTCCAACGCATCAGCTGCTGTCAGGAGATGGATGGGCAATCTCCTCCCATGTGATTACTGCCTCAGAAAACAAACCCGCTGCAGGCTCTACTATGAGCAAGTTCTGACTCTAATGTATCAACAAGAATAGTTTATTTTCTTCTAGGGAGTTCTGATGGAGTAGCCTTCACGGAGTTGAGCTGCTGCTAAATCAAGGCAGTGTATCTCTTCAGGTTGGAATACACCTTTTAAACATGCTTTTGCATTGTTATTAAAACAAGTAAATATCTTTCTGGTATTCTTTGCTTCTGACCAGGATCCCATCTGATGTCAACAATGATACTCCTTCATTTAATGGTCTCTTTTCAATCCAGCCTGAATTTCTGGTAATCCCCTTTCGTTGTACTTGTCCAGTACTTTTGAATAATGTTCAGCAAGATTTTATTTGGACACGGTGTTAATGACATTGTTTGATAATTTTTACCCTGGAATGAATTACATTTTTTAAATGGGCATAAATAGTCATCTTGTCAAAACTCACCCACTCCTATCAAGTCAATTCAGTTTTCCTAATCTTACAAATTCATTTCAGTAATTTAGTACAAACTTCACCATAAGGGTTGCTTAGACTACTGGTCTTTTGGAAGCTATGTGCTCATTTCCTTCCTTTAAAGTAGTTTGTGTGTTTGAACCACTGGCCTTTTGGCTAGCAATCCAATGCTTGAAGAACTACCAGAGCTCATGGACTAAAACTTGCTCACTCACTCACTCATTGATGGCCTGTTGTACCAACTCACAGCTAGCCCTCCACTGGGTTTCTGACTCTGCAGATCACATGAGAGGAAATTGCCTGTTTTTCTCCAACAGTAACAAACTCAGAGAGGTAGTCTTTCTCAAGTACCATTTCAGTAGTCTCACAGAAGGGCTGGAATGAATCTTGCCCTTTTCCTGGAAAACACTGGATACTCATATACCTACCAAATAGTACACCCTGGGACTTCTCTCTCCTTTCTTAATACGCCATCATTTCCCCAGCTGGGGCTTAAATCCTCCCTTGACCTCAGCTATGTAACTTTATAACCTCTGCCAGGTCTCTCCTTTGACATTTTGACTCTGTATTCTAGTCCTGTAGTCACAGAATCAGTGTGCATCCCAGAGTGGACCCACTAGATGTCAGACAGAAGGACACCATCTGAACCTTCCTCACTGCCTTGGATGCTGTGTCTGGCAATGACGGTAACCACTTCCCCTCCCTCAACATAAGAACAAGGACAGTGCTACTAACCTGTCCACATTAAATCCTAGTCATTATCTCATGCCCAGAAGCTTCCTGGGGTCTCAGCACAACCAAACTATGTGCATTATCTTGGACAATTCCATAGTATTGTGCTAATCAAGGTACTTCACAAAAGAAAGTTAAACTCCCATAAACCTGAATACTTCATCTTGACCTTACATTGTTGTTGACACCTTCCCTTCCATGCTTTGTTCACCTCACACAGCGGAATTATTCGTCCATCTTAATGCTTCTGACTGGCGGCTTTGTTGCTAGATTTGCATTCTTTCCTCCACTCTAACTTTTCCTTTGCTGTCTATGGAGACCTAAGTGTCATCTTTGTGAAATTTCTCTAGTCTCCCCAATCAAAAGCAGTAACTAATCAGACTCTAAAAATCTTATGTGATTTACAGACTTTGAAGATCCACTGGATTTGGTTCCAAATTGATGTCATGTAACAACAAGGAATAACAACAACCAGCTCAGACTTAAACTTTTATTTTAACACCCATTTTGTTCTTCCTGGTATTATAATTAGTTAAATGTGAATAAAGATATTTTAAAATCCTTAGGGACAGGGATAAAATAGTTTGTTATTGTTGTGTGTACCATCAAGTCAGAACTGACCCATAGCTGAGCCTCTGGCAAGTTTTCAGAGACAGTTAATGGTTCAGGAGAAGACCGCCCATCTTTCTACTGCAGAGCAGCTGGTGGATTCAAACCACGTGCCTTTGGGACTGTATTGCAGCTTCTTGGCTGGCATATTTTTTAAATGTTAGAATCACTGACTGCAGCAATAGGCTCAGTATGTCAGAGATTGTGAGGATGGCACATGAGGGACAGGGCTCACACTCGTTCACAGAGTTGCGAGGAGTTGTACTCAACTCAACAGCACCTAGCAACAACAACAATACTGAATGTTACAGGAATGTATTTATGACTAAAGCTCCTTCTATAATAGTCTTCATTTTAGAACTTCAAACAGAAAGCCATTTCTATTAACTGTAAAATCTCCCTACAGAATCTCTGTATCGCTCTCAACGTTAAAAGGAATTCTTTTTTGGCTTCATAATTTTTACAGTAATTTCTAAATGTTTCTCAAATTCTTAAACCCTAATATAAACCTGGGTAATTAATAAACTATAAAAGGCTAGCCATTCATTTATATGTGTATGATCCTCTGCAACCTAACAGCATTTTAATGTATTGTTTTCTAACCTTTAGATTTAGAAAATAAAATGCCTTGCTTTATAAAATATTTTGTTTCTTTTAAATGCATTTTGTTTGACAAAATTGTTGTGAAAGTAGCACAGAGAGCTCTTGTAGATCAATCACCAAGGTGTTTTTTTCTAACATTAACATCTTAAGTAACTACAAGTACCATTATCAAAATAAAAAAAGAAATCGTGTTGGTACAATATTGTTAGCAGAACTCTGTTGGTTTATTCCATTGAAAGTTGTCATGCTAATCCTCAGGGTAACACAACTCTTGCAGTTTGAAACTTTAAATACACAATTTAAAGTGAATAGTAGAAATGGAAAGAAAGAACAGAGTACTTTAAGAAGCAGGTCGACAAAAGAAAGCTAAATACTATAAGGAGATGTGCGAGGATGCAGAATTAGAAAAGCTAAAGGGAAGAACATGGCTGGCATTTCTCAAACTGAATGTACTGATGAAAAAAAGCTCAAGCTTGTGCTCGCTTCGGCAGCACATATACTAAAATTGGAACGATACAGAGAAGATTAGCATGGCCCCTGCGCAAGGATGACACGCAAATTCTTGAAGCGTTCCATATTAAAAAAAAAAAAAAAGAAAAAAAGCTCTTTTTAATCCCGCCCCCCAAAAAAAGAAAAAATTAAAAAAGCTCAAGCTTTCAATTTAAATAGTGAAGGATCCTCTGGAAAAAATGTCGAACAACCAAGGAAGCATCAAAAACAGACACCGAGGTGTTGAACCAAAAAGAAATGGTCAATATTCAATCCTTTCAGGAAGTAGATAGGATCGAGAGGCAAAGGTATTGAAGGAAGATTCAGTTATGCTGCACTTTATGTGCTGCCAAAATGCAATCCTCCAGGAAATGATTGCCTATTAATCGAGAGGCTTTAACAAGCAGATGAGACTCTGGAAGCACTTTTTTCCCCCTAAATTAAGGGGAAGACCCTCTATGAGGTGGATTGATTCAGTGAGTGGTAATCAGGGTGGGTGCATCAGAGGAAGTATGATTGGTACAGAACACCAGGGTTTAGGGCTGTTGTACATAGGGTTGCTATGAGTCACAAGTGACTCTATGGCACGTAACAACACCACCACCACCAAAGATGTTTAGAAGATAGATGAGCAGAAAAGATCCACATTTGTGCCCATTTTAAGAAAAGTGATCCACTGGATTTTGAAGTTATTGAACAATGTCCTTAATATCATATACAAGTAAAAATTTACTAAAGATTATTAAAAAATGTTTGCGGCAGTATATCGACAAGGAATTACCAGAAATTCAAGCAGGATTCAGAAGACATTGTGAACCAAAGGATATCATTGTTGATGTCAGATGAATCTTGGCTAAGAGCAAAAAATACCTGAAAGATGATTACTTGTATTTTATTGACTATGCAAAGACATTTAACTGTGTGGATCAGAACAAATTATGAATAATATTGAAAAGAATGGGTATTCTAGAACACAATTTTGCTCTTGGAGAACTTATACAAAGACCATGATACAGTCTTGAACACAATAAGCGCACACTGAATAGTTTAAAACTAAGAAAGATGTATCAGAGGAGTATCTTTTCACCTTACATTTTCAATATGCATTTTGAACAAATATTCTGAGACACTAGACTACATGAAGAACATACCAGGTTTGCAAGAAGTCTCAACAACTTTGCTTGCTAAAAATTAAGCATTTACTGATAAAAATAAAAAACTATACTCTTCAGTATGGATTATACACCAACATACAAACTGTATCAATAAATTACTTCATGACAAAAAGAAAAGAATGAACTGGCCAACATTTTTATTTCACTGAAAATTCCAATGAAATCAGCAGAGAATAAATAAAACAATGTTTCTCATTGAGCAAATTTGGTGATAAGGATCACTTTATAGTCCTAAAAAGCTGTGATGCCACTTTGAGGTCTAAGGTACACCTAACCCAAGCCATGGTATGTCTAATAACTTTAAATGCTATTTAGTTGCACAATGACTAAAGGACACAGAAAAAGAACAGACATCTTTGAATTATGGTGTTGGAGAATAATAAATGTATGAGTTTCAT